GTGACAGAGCTCAAACATGAGCATCTTGTTACCATAATAGATCTCTGAAGGCGTCAGTCCTGCATTTCTGAGCTTCTGTACTTGCAGATATTTCTGAGCTGTTTGTTACAGCCCTTGAATAGACAGAAAGGACATAATTAGAGCAGGTCTGTATTTTCAGTTGCATAAAACCCTTGTACATCTTSTGTCTGAGACCAGCATTCACTCCAAGCAGTCATAACCTCCAGCTTCATGTTTTTCTGTTATCAGGACAAATTAACCCATTAGCTGCACAGACTCTGCTGTGAGTCAGAGGTTTATGACTCATGTGAATAGAACACATTTCTATTCTGGTTTTAATTAACTTGGCTTCCACCCAAATCCTCCTTAGAAATGAAAGATACTCGATTAGCTGAAGTGTACAACATATTTTTATGCTTTATGCTAAACTTACATGTGTATTTTTATGAGCTAGTGCTACAAAAAAAATGAATCCCTGTGAATGCACTAGCCTAAAAGGTAAATGACAGAACTGCCTTATTTGATAGACTGTTAMAGTATTGTAGTTAATCGGGTTGGTTTGGTTGCCTTGCAAACTCTAAGAACAAAAAATGAAATTCACAGTTCTGGTACATTGGGAAATCTGTACCCTGATGTGACCTGGAGGATGGAGCTTGCTGGGCAGAGCAGTCCCAGAGCCTTTATTAAAATATTTCCTAGCAGAACTGCAATTTGCCTTCTGAGCACTTCCAGGAATTTAAGCTGAACGATCTTGTGCTGCTGGGTCTTCAACACTTCAACCCCTGGAGTCTCGTGATTCTCTGTTCCCTGCTCCAGAGTGGCACAACCTCACCCGGTGATTTTGGTGTCGAGACCATGAACTTCTGCTGCTTCTGAGCCTTCTTTCCCAAAGGCTCAGTTACTCACAGAGACCTCTGGGATGGGGAATGAAACCACAGTGACACCAACAAAAAACTGCTGTCCTGAGTCACACAAAAATTCCCACTAGGTGAATTCCCCCAATTAAAAATCAGAAGATTTGTTCCAAGGAATCAAGACATGCCTGTTATTTAAATGCAATTTCTCTTTTATTACTGTCTTATTAAAACTTACCATTCTCTATTAATCAGCATTTCTTAATTAACATAAAATTCCCAGGGTCTGGTAGAATTCCACCACCCACAATCCAGTTCTATGCAGTTCATTTCTATTTAGACTGCATATTGCTGGAGCATGTGGGATTATAGTGCATGCTGCAATTATTTCCAGGGAGGACTGTGACACTTGGCCTTGATCTTGGCTTTCTCTGGTACAGAGCACTGTAAGTATTCTGTATTTATTTATAACTTGTTGAGGGGAACAACAGAGGCTGCCTGACACTGTGCWCTCTCTTCTTTAGATTGTAATTCTCGGATGGCTCTCGCAGGAATTACAGGGAGGAGAGCTTTGCCATTTGGAGAAAAGGTCTTACAATTTAATCAGAATACAATTTTAGCCAACCAGCTAGTTCAATCAGCCTGTCCAATTATGGTGTGGGTTGAGCAAGACTCTACACTCAGGGTTCCCTGGAGTTGTTTATAGTTATGAAATAAAAATAAGAAATTAGGTCAGTTATACTCTATTGACTTCTACAGCGTTCAGGAGTGTAGAGCAGCATAGCTTTGCCCAAATTTGTGTTTGTCATCTCTCTGCTCTGACTAAGCTTTGCCACCAATTGAAGGCTAAATTGGGAGTGCTGTTCCAGATGGCAATTCCATATGKGCTGGTCCTGGGTTTGCACACATGGACAGGAGTCGTGTGGGTCTGGCTCTGCTTTTAACCCTCGCAGCTCATCCGTGCTGAAAGAGCTGCATCAGCTCTGTCAGTCTCAGAACAGAGATCCTTTCCTGGTTATTTCCTGCTCCACTGACTCTCCTCAGATCTTGGATCAGCCTTTGTACCAAATTTTTCCTCACGACTGTAACCCTTCAGAAATTCCCCTCTTCCCAAACCCCTTCAATCTGATCATACCTTACCACGACCTCATTTTGTGGCTGTTCCTCCCTCCTGGTTGGGGCAGCTGCTTAACCCAACATCYCAACAATCCAAATCCTGCAGCTGATCACACCCCTGTTTCACCAAACACCATTCTGCCCAAACTGTTCTTAAACACTGCTGCTGTTTCTTTTCTTTGGGCCACG